TACCTTGTTGAAGGACTAGTGGGATATAAGCTCTAACTACAGTTAAACCTGACATAACAAAGAAACTATGTCCCCAAAAGACTCAATCACATAAAATTCAGGGTTGGATTACTGCGAGGTTAAAACGATACAGGCAAGCATAGACAACTAGCTGGTTGGGCGTCCCCATGCAACCGAGATCCACCTGGGCTCAGGCTGCAGTTTGGCACCACCTGGTGGCAACTGTCTAGCATCAACATTCATGGGATCAATTCTGAGACCTGTAGCTGATTGGGGTGTGCAAGGCAGCCCCAATTCACAGAATCTTCCAGTTAGATGGTATCCATTTTGTTGCAGACATGGGGCCACAACAATCCTTGGGACAAGGAAATATGTTTTCAGTTTCCAGAAATGGCTCTGTTGGTTTTTTTTCCCACAGGGCTTTACCAACTTACCTCTATCAACCACCTCAGAAAACAGAGGCTCATATATCTACATTTATGTGACGATGGGATGCATTACTTTCCTTTCAGCAAGAACAGATAGCAACCAAGAAGTCTGGAAACTCAATTTTTTTTTTTTTTTGACAGGCAGAGTGGACAGTGAGAGAGAGAGAGAGAGACAGAGAGAAAGGTCTTCCTTTGCCGTTGGTTCACCCTCCAATGGCCGCTGTGGCCGGCCCACAGCGCTGATCCGATGGCAGGAGCCAGGTACTTATCCTGGTCTCCCATGGGGTGCAGGGCCCAAGCACTTGGGCCATCCTCCACTGCACTCCCTGGCCACAGCAGAGAGCTAGCCTGGAAGAGGGGCAACCGGGACAGAATCCGGCGCCCGGACCGGGACTAGAACCCCGTGTGCTGGCGCCGTAAGGCGGAGGATTAGCCTAGTGAACTGCGGCGCCGGCAACTCCATTTGACTACACAGCAAAGTTTATGTGGTTACATGAACTGCTTAAAAATAGTCATCTACTTTACCAAAGAAATAATCCCACAGATGTTAAGGTTATTAGCTCAGTCATCAAAAGCCTAAAAATCTGTAACAAAAGCGAGCCACAGAACCAACAGCACTGTTTGTAAAACAGAAATAATATTACCTATAACAAGGGTCTCTCATACTGAGATCTTTCTCCTGGGTGATTCAGAATTATATAGGCCTACTTTTCTATTTAGATATCCCACAGATACTTAAAATGAAATTATGTTTTCCTTTGAAGGCCTGGTATTTTGCCAATGTTTTACAAACTGCAATCACCATCTATGTGGCTATCCAATTCAGATACCTGGGTGACATCCCTAACTTCTTCCCTCCAATCCAGTCTAGTCACTGAGTCTTCTTGGTTCTCTCTCTCCTACACATTTTTCCAAACTGTCCTGTTTCTGTCTTCTCTACTTCCACAAATCCAGTTTCATCACCTCCTCTCACCATGATAATGGAAATTATCTCCAGCAGTACACTCCTCCAGCCTGTTCTCTGTGTTGCAGTGATTTTGTAATAAAAGAGCAGATCAGATCATGCCCTTTCTTACAATCTTTCAATTCTTCCCCACAGATCTCACACAGAGCTCCAAAGGCATGATTTGATCCTGTTTCTCTTTTCTGTTTCATCTCTTATAACTCCCTGTCTTTCAGTTTATGCCTCAGTCATAATTATTTTCAGTTTGCTCAACAAAGCTTCATCTTTTTGCACCTCCAGGTTTTTACATATGCTGTATCTTCACTCTCCCAATTCCCTGCTTTCCCATGACATGCAGTCTTACTCTCCATCATACACAGATGTCAGCGTTGAGTACTGCTTCCCCCATGAAGTCTTTCCTGATTCCTCCCTAAGGCTGGGTTTGACACTCAGGCGGTTTAATCCTTTGGGCCCCATCATGTTCTCTATTATGATCATATTTATGATAACTGTTTCTCGATTTGTCCTCATCCTTCATTACCCTAACAGCTTTGTACAGGCAAAGGTCATCACTTACATCTAAGACAGGCAGAACAATGTTGCTCTGAGAACTAAACAAGAGGTCAAACATAAAATTTTCTAACATAACACATATAACAGGCGTGTATACCTCTTCATTAGGCCTGCTTTTGAGCCCTAAGAGCAAGTAATCATAAGGTACAAGATCCTTCCTTTCTAATATAAGGCTAGCACTAAGCAAAACTTTCCAAAATGATGAACAATGTGTTTGGAATTCTCTAATCTGTCTGGATGTGTCTCTTTCCAATCTCCTAATGACCCTGCTACTCTAGGTATGCACACTCACTTAAATGTCATCAACAGGAAGAGACAACTAAGTGCAACAGCTAATTAATCTGAAAACCATGTTATGGACAAAAAATTATGTATACAGCATAACTCCATATGTAGGATATTAATACAATTATAAATAACTGAACTATGTTCTACAGAGATGCTTATTTACTGCTAACATAGATGACAAATGCATAAGGAAAACAAAAGAAGTTATCAGCATGCAAATGGAATAGTATTCATAAGTAGCCTTAAGGTAGGGAAGAGTTAAGCAGTTCGAAGGGTCTCAATTGTTTTACTTCTTGATTTGGATAAATGGTATTTAATTAAAATTATTTATTAAATGCATGCAAAATTGTTTCTGAAAATCTGTTATATCTTACATACACATACATGCAAACATTTATAAAGTAAAAAAGGAAAACAATCACAGTAAATGACAAAAAAATTATATTTGAATAGTGGTTCAAAATTTCTTTGAGCTACTTTGGAAAATACCTTCTCAGGATTCAAGATATGAAGATTAGCTCTGGATTTCAGAGGCCTTGATCCTAAAAATGGTTACAGAATTCCCACAGGTAATTTAAATATTAAAACACAGATTAAGTATAAGGAAGCCCAGAAGTGTTTTTATTTTTCCTAAAATGAGAAGTTCATTTAAAACATAATGTAATATGTCTAATATTTTTCCCAAAACATAGACATTTTTTGTTTCTGCTTTGCAGTACTCAAAGTCATTTAGTTTGTCTACTGGTAATATAGCATTGAATAATCACCTAGAATTTTTATATAACAAAATTCTTTGCCATTTTCATTATAAATACTATTCTAAATTATGACTATACCATAATTCTCTTACAGATCAAACAGAACACGAGCAGAAGTAAACATCTATAAATGCAACAATAAATTATTTCTTTTTGTTTGGTGTTTTTTGAAAATATACTTCCAGGTAGACTTCTTTTTGTTTTTTTTTGTTTGTTTGTTTGCTTTTGCCAGGCAGAGTTAGACAGTGAGAGAGTGAGAGAGAGAGAGAGAGAGAGAGAGTTATAGACAATGAGAGAGAGAGACAGAAAGAAAGGTCTTCTTTCCATTGGTTCACTCCCCTAATGGCCTCTACAGCCGGTGCTGCACCGATCCGAAGCCAGGAACCAGGTGCTTCCTCCCGGTCTCCCATGTGGGTGTAGGGCCCAAGCACTTGGGACATCCTCCACTGCACTCCTGGGCCACAGAGCAGAGAGCTGGACTGCAAGAGGAGCAACCAGGACAGAATCCGGCACCCCAACCGGGGCTAGAACCCAGGGTACTGGCGCTGTAGGCGGAGGATTAGCCAGGTGAGCCACAACACTGGCCTCCAGGTAGACTTTTAAAAATAGATCAAACAGTTGCTCCTCTTCCAGTCTAGCTCTCTGCTGCGGCCCAGGAAGGCAGTGGAGGATGGCCCAAGTGCTTGGGTCCCTGCACCTGCATGGGAGACCATAAGGAAGCACCTGGCTCTTGGCTTCAGATTGGCGCAGCGGTGCCAGCTTTAGTGGCCATTTAGGGGGTGAACCAATGGAAGGAAGACCTTTCTCTCTGTCTCTCTCTCACTGTCTAACTCTGCCTGTCAAAAAAAGAAAGAAATAAAAAATATCAAACAGGTAACTAAAAATTAATTCATGCAAAATTTATGAGGAAAATAATGCTTTCATTTTTATTTAATTCATAAGTATCAAGTCATACCAAGAAAATATCCTAAAAATGTTGTTTTAAGTTGTATATCTACTACTTTAGCACCATAAACAACACAAAAGAAACTCTAGAGGAAATTATATCACTCAAAAAGATTTCAGCATTATAAAAATGTCTTACACTCTCCATGTTAACATAATTTAACAGTAACTTAAAAATACCTTTGCCAATTTACTACCCAAAGAATAATTCTACAAATGTAGTTTTTACAGTGGAGGCATTTATAAATACTATATTAATACAGCAGCTTTTTGCTCTGGAACTGAAGGATTGAAATTCCAAAGTTTCTGCTACTATACTCTCAGTAGAAATGACATGTTACAATGCTAATTATAGATCACTGAAGTCTGATTTAAAATCTTGCTGACAACAATCAAAATAGCATATACTCAAATCAGTGCTGATAATCTACTATGGCAATTAAGCCAACTTCAAAATAATTTTCCTGTTAAAATACAAACTTCTAAAAGCCATACGAAGTATAATGATTGTATGTAAAATCAAGTATCACTGAAATAACTAGCATTTATTTCCCCCCAACATAGGTAATCACTAAATAGAGGGACTACACCCAATATATAGTGGTCTAAAAGTAAGTGCATGGGCAAAAATATTTCTTCAGCATTATCTAACATAATATCTTTCAGGGTCAGTAGTGAAATCAGGCATATGAAATATTTCAAAGTACTATTTCAGCTTTTAAAAGTTTCCAGGAGGAATTCTTGGCATGTTATAGGAGAAACTATTAGTATCTCTTAGCACCCTCTCATTTCCTTTTCTATACCTGTCCTCAATCTGAATTGAGGTAAAAGCAAAAAGACAAGTTATCAGGATAAAAGAGGGAATGGGAAAATCACTGTGACAAGGTCTAAAGACCGGCAAACCCTGTACCAAATATTTTAGAATCTTAATAGTCCTATTTCATTTATATTTATAGTTATGGAAGTATTTTTTACCATATTAAAAATATTTAATTTCAATAAAATTCCTATAATCGCCAAAGGGGAAACCCTGCCACACACATACACACTTTTTTTTTTTTTTACCTGTTTTCTCGTTCATACATTTCCCTAGAGGCACTTCGAAGTTGATCAATTTCTTGATTAGTTTTCAATTTGATTTGTTCTAGTTCATCATGTAGTTTATTTTCATATTCTGCTTTATAATGGTCTCTGCAAGGAGTCAAAAGGAATATTCATGAATTCTTTTCTGTGTGAAACAAATGGGATTTTGCCCTCCATGTAAGATTTAACAGCTTATATTGAGTATGTTTCATAGATTTTGTTACTTGGAAAAGTTAACTATTAAATATAAAGTTGTATAATCCCTAAAAATAACTGTTCCAAACTAGTTCCATCTAAGATCTCAGTCTGCTAAACACTGCTTAAAAGGCTTAATTACTATACAGAATGTTAATCATTTATGTTGGATAATTATTCTTCTTCAAAAATGTTTTACAAATAGTTTTTAATGCATGTGGTCAGGGCTTGAAAACTGATGCATACAGAATACCCTCATTTAAAAATAATAATCTAGTGTGGTACATGTTGAGCCATGAACACTACTAACAAAAAAAATAAAGGCAAATGACTCTGACTCTTCATAAAACCTTTCTCTGCTAGGACTCCAATCTTAACCACATGGTATTCTTTTAGCAAAGCCAAGTTACTACATAGGATATTAGCAAGAATGGTATAAACCGATGAAAAAATACTACAGGTTAGGGGAAAGGTTATGAACCTGTGAACTGTTCAAGGTGAAATTTAGACTTTTAGCTTCTGAGGTGCTAATAAGAATAAATTACTGTAGCTCATTTACACAACTAGTAGAAGAGAGAAGGCAGGACTGAAACCCAGGGAATCTGATTCAAAGACTACACAATACTCTCTCCTCATTCACAGTCAGGAAATCTTCAGCACACCAAGATTTGCCTCAAAGATACTTCCATAAAGATATTTATGGAGAGATCTTAGTTATAGAGAATTACAGTTATCTGTAATCTCCCTATCAAAAGTCTTTTACTCAGCACCTGAGAAACCAAAAGTCTTCAGATGTTTTTGGAAAACCACAATGTCTTTTAAAATGTTAACTAAAAAAGAATCTCTTGAAACAAAATGAATTATTATCTTAATATTGTCTCACAGACCTTAAAAACAGAATCACTAATCAGAATCACACAAACCAAGAGTTCCCTCAAAGAAGACGATGTTAATTTTCATCTGTCTACACGAAAAACAATGCCAATCTTACCTGGATGTTACGTATTTTTCATACATCTCTTCTCTGGCCTTTTTAGTTTCTTCCAGTTGAGTCTGAAGTCTTTCCAGGCGATCTTCTTCATGGGCACAGCGGACACTAAGTTCCATGTTCTGGCGACTGAGATACTCTTTATCCTTTTGCAGTAAAGTAACCGTCTGCCGTAAGGTGACTACCTAGGGGAATACAGAGACAAACAGCAGAGCAGCAGCCAAAGCGATGCTCACTTAATTTTCAAATACTATTATTCGGCTGTATTAATTTCCTTCATCCTGCTTTCACTCATCACATATAAAGTCTCCTTTTTGGAAGGACTAATTCTTAACCCCACAATTTTATATCCAAAAAGACCTACTGAAACTTTTGTGTTTTTGGCAACTGCATCAAAAAGGAAAAGTGTTCCTCCCACAATTTTACTCCGGGCTATTTCCCACTATTACTATTGTACAATAAATTTCTAGTGATTCTGTTTATAGGCTTACCTCTTTGGATAATTCACTTCTTTCTTTAGCTTGAGTTATGTGAGAAGCTTCAAGTATTTCATGTTTTCTCCTAATCTCACTGACTTCCTGTTCAAGTGCATCACGTTCACTATTAAAATACAATTCAAATACTCATGTAAATTTTGCATCTCTATTACAGTGAACATTTTAAAAGGGTGGCTATACATCAAGAAACTGAACAGATACTAGGCAGTGGGGATGTCCAACATAAAGTATCTGTTTTTCAAACTTAACAGGGACTGTCCAAGACACTGTTCAGATAAACATCAATTTATTACCTTTAAAAATAAAACCATTAGCTACACTAACCAGTAAATGATAAAACTTTCTAAAGGTACCTGTGGTATTCTTTCAGTCAATCTTATTTTAAGGCCAAACTTTTAAAGAATGTATACAAGGCTCCAGGCTTTCAGTTCAATTAGGGTTAAGAACCCCTCCCAATTTATTACTCAGATTGCATAGTAGACACACAGGCAGATATTCTTGTGGATACTTCATTCATAAATTGTTTATGGTGACTCACAGGTTTTAATTTCCATTTTCAGATAAGCTCTCACCCCAAAATAGTGAAACCAAGAACTGGGCAAAGACCTACCATAGACATCTTAGAAATGAGCAAAGAAATAGATTTGTTTACTCTTCTCCTGTGAGAAGCAATGTCTTTGTAATATATTTCATTGACCCAAATGGTATTAAAAATTTTTTCCCAGTAGATTTCAATAATTCATTTAGAAAGTTTTTTCCCCTTGCTGGTTAACAACAAGTCTGCAATGTTTATTGAAGAAAACTGAGCAAAGTACAATATAAAATGTAATAACCACCCATAATCCACTAATTAAACATTACTATCCATACTGATGAATCTTACTCTAAGTATTTTGGGCTTTTCATATGTAAATGTTTTTACAAGAATGATCCTAATCCTTTTGCTATGATTTTTATGTAGAAGTTATTATGAACTATTATTATTATGAAGTTATTATGAAGTAGTACACACATGAATTTGTAATTAATCCAGTTAACATTTATCTATTCTTGTACTGTTTTGTTTCTTAAAAGATAAAAGAGGTAAACTTGAGGCCGGCGCCGACGCTCAATAGCCTAATCCTCCACCTAGTGGCCCCGGCACACTGGGTTCTAATCCTGGTCGGGGCGCCGGATTCTTTCCCGGTTGCCCCTCTTCCAGGCCAGCTCTCTGCTGTGGCCCGGGAAGGCAGTGGAGGATGGCCCAAGTGCTTGGGTCCTGCACCCCATGGGAGACCAGGAGAAGCACCTGGCTCCTGCCTTCGGATCAGCGCGGTGCGCCGGCCGCAGCGCGCCAGCTGCGGCGGCCATTGGAGGGTGAACCAACGGCAAAAGGAAGACCTTTCTCTCTGTCTCTCTCTCTCACTATCCACTCTGCCTGTCCAAAAAAAAAAAAAAAAGTAAACTTGAAGTCCTCTATATGTTCTTCACTATTACCTCTCTAGATATAAAAATGAATTTAGTATATTTTCATATTATGTATGCTTTTAAAAATAGTTTATCCATCAATTGTAAACAGTATCATACTTACTTTGCAATATTTGCCAAATAGTATCTTGTCTTCCTCTCTTGGTGATATATGTGAATGAATATATTTCAGTATACATGCACACATACAAAAATACATAACTAAACATGCATGCAAATTCAAACACATGCATTTCCCCCCGTCAACTATTTAAGGTTTATATGTAGACTTTAGGTTCATTTATCACTAAATGCCTATGTGAATCTCCTAAGAGTAAAGATATTCTCTTATATAATCACAGTATAATTATCTAATTCAGGAGACTAAGCATTAATACTATTATCTAATATACAACCCATTTAAAAAAAATTTTTTTTTAAATTTATTTGACAGGTAGAGTTATAGACAGTGAGAGAGAGAGAGACTGAGAGAAAGGTCTTCCTTCCATTGGTTCACTTCTCAAATGGCTGCTACGGCCGGTGGCTCTGAGTGGATCCAAAGCCAGGAGCCAGGCACTTCTCTCTGGTCTCCCATGCGGGTGCAGAGGCCTGAGCACCTGGGCCATCCTCCACTGCACTCCCAGGCCACAACAAAGAGCTGGACTAGAAGAGGGGCAACTGGGACTAGAACCTGAAGCCCATATGGGATGCCGGCACCGCAGGCAGAGGATTAACCAAGTGAGCCACAGCTCCAGCTCCCCATTTTTAAATTTTGGCGATTGTCCCAAAAATGTCCTTTGTTGCAACCTGCCCCGGATCCACTCCATTATGCCTTGCAACAGGATGTCATGTTTCTTTAGTCTCTTTTAACCTTCAACAGCTCCTTAGCTTTTCCTTCATTTATGATATTGACTTTTTGTAGAGCATGGGCCACCTGTATTATGGAATACCCCTTAATTCTCATGTCTGATGTTTCCTGGTGACTAGAATCTGAACACTTCGGGCAGGTATATTATGGAACTCATGTGTCCTCCGTACATCACATGAAGAGGCACATGATACCAGTTTATCCTATTATTAGGGATAATCATTATGAAGTAGTACACTTCATAATATAGTCACTTGGGTAAGGTGTCTGTCAGAGTTTTCCACTGTAAAGCTATTGTTTCGTCCCTCATAATTAATAACTAATTTGTGGGGAGATACTCTAAGAGATTGTGTAACTATTTACTTCCCGCTACAATTTTACATAATGGTTTTAGGTTCCATTAATGATTCTGAACCAAGTATCACTATGAGGTTATACAATGGTCAATCTAACATACACATACATTTGATGGTTGGCATTCTATTGTAAATATCCCTTTTCACTGTTAACTTATTATAAACATGCACTCATGGGTTCCTAGTCTATTCACTGGGTTACAGTCCATTATCATCAACATTCATTTTAATATTCAAGTTGTACTCTATTATATTTGGCCATATGGAGCTTCTTCAAAATGGCAACTGTGGTATTGGTTTGCAATGAGAGGTATCAGTATGATCTTATCTACAGTGTATTAAGACTCTGCCCTCTCCCCTCCACTGCCTCTACCTACTGAAAGAGCCTAAGAATAATGACCAATCTAGAAATGACCATAGCACCCATCTTAATTTCTAAATAGTATTTCTCACTAAAAGGAATCAGGACTAGAGAAAGGGCAAGGGTAATGAAATTACAAAATAAAACCAGGAATATTATGTTATCCAGAAAGTAAGGAACTGCTAAAAAATACATTCAGAGGTAACAATTTTACTGCCACGTAGAATTATAAAAATAAATCACATTTTACTTTCCATTCTGATATTTAAAAGGACCTGAGTTCTCCCTAATAATAATACCAATTAACCTCTATAAATCATGTCAACTTGAGAATTTACTAAGCACATAAATTGCTACTTTTTCTTCCCCAGTTTATTTTGCATTTTTGTGTCCTGTCCATTTTTTTTTAAACCCAGACACTGTACTGAGTTAACCACAAGGTTCACAATTTGAGGTCCTGTTGCTTGTTTTTCTATTCCATTTCTAGCACATGAAGATGCTTATCATGCCTTTTGATCAAGGCTATGTTTTTCTTTCTTGGTTTTTATTATAGAAAATGAAAACATACAAGTATGTAAAAATAGAGATGATATAATGAACACCCATGCTTCCACTACCCAGCTTCAATAATTATTAACTCATGACTCATGTTGTTTTATTTATCCTTCATTCATGGCCCCTCCGGATTATTCTGATGACTATGCTTTTTAGTTTTCTCCTTTTATATTTTATCTATCATTGTTATAGATTTATAGTGGAACAGTAGACATTAAAATATCAATGCAAAGTATTACCTTGCCATCACAATCTGTTCATTTTATCTTTTAAGATATACTTATTTATTTGCAAGGTAGGGTGACAGAGTTAGAGAGAGTAAGAGAGAGGGAGGGAGGGAGAGAAAGACAGAGACAGAGAGATCTTCCATTTGCTGGTTCATTCCCCAAATGACTGCAATAGCCAGGTCCATGTCAGTCTGAAGCCAGGAGCCAGGAATTCCATCCTGGCCTTCCATGTGGGTGGCAGGGGCCCAAGTACTTGGGCCATCTTCTGTTGTCTTCCTAGGCACATTAGCAGGAAATTGGATGGGAAGCAGAGTAGTTGGGATTCAAAAAGTCACTCAATTATGGGATGCTGGCATTGTAGGTGGGAGCTTAATTCCATGATGCTACAATGCCAGGCCCTATTTCACTTTTAAATGTTTCTTTTGAAGTCCAGCTTTAATCAAGTCCACAGAGTCCAGCTCTCACAGGTTTCAAGCTCCAATAATTTTGGTATTTTGGCATAATGATATATACATAAAAATATGTATTATATGTTGGTCACGGTGGGAGTAGAAGTACTTTTGTTACATACCTAAATCTTTGCAAATTAAATTACAGTATTATCTAGCTTATAGTTTATACAATTTAAGGCACTCATTCATCTATTTAAAAATAATCACTGACTACTATATTTCAAGAATTATTCTGGGTGCAGGTAGATATAACAGTAAATGATTAGGATAATGTCATTCTATTTACACTTACAACGGGTCTTTTTTGAAGTACCCTCATATATAAATTGTGTGTGTTTATGTAAAGACTTTCACAAATACTTCTTCATTTGATCTTAGTTTTTATAGTACAGTTATTTGCATTTGCACCATCTCACAAATGAATCTCAGGACAAAAAGAGATTTACCTAGGAACACAGAGCTAAGCAGTTGTTCATTAAATTATTGTACAAACAATAGAAAAGTATATTCCAGTTAAATACATACATATACATATATATATATATATCATACCTACTTAGTAGCAACATATTGGGAAACACATATTCTCAGAATTTTACAAAAGAGTGAATGCCTTTTGTAAGAAACAACAACTGGGGCCAGTGTCTGGCATAGTAGATTGAGTTGCCACCAGCAACTCCAGCATCCTATATGGGTGCTAGTTCAAGACCTGCTGCTCTACTTCCAATTCAGCTCCCTGCTAATGCACCTGGAAAAGCAGAAGATGGCCCAAGTGTTTGGGCCCTGTCACCCACATAGGAGAAGCTCCTGACTCCTGGCCTTGGCCTGGCTCTGCCTGGCTGTTGTGGCCGTTTGAGAAGTGAACCAGCAGATGGAAGATCTCTCCCTCTCTGTCTCTCCCTCTCTCTGTGGCTCTGCCTTTCAAGCAAATAAATCTTCTTTTCTTTAAAAAAAAAGAAGAAATAGCTGAAAAACACTTTAGGGAAAAAAACCTGAAGAATTTAAATTGATTCTTTTACATAAAAGTAATCATCAACTCACATTTAAAATATTTACACACATGGGAATTTCCTATCTTCCTTTACATTAAAAAAAAAAGCAACACTTTCTAAACAAAAAAATATATCTGAATACAATTTAAAGGGGTGAGGAATGTTTGGCCCATAGGCCATATAAGCCCTGCGAAATCATTCAGTCTGGCCTTGCCAAGGAAACTGTAGGTGGGCCTTGAAATTCAATGAATGTACGGCAGGTTAAATTGATAATTCTGGATGGCCTGGGACTGATGATATCAATACCCAAATGGCCCTTGGCAGAAAAAAGGTTCCCCAACCCTGAACTGCCACAACTACATGTTGCTTGGCAAAAAAGAAAAAAGGTAAATACGAAATTAACAAGTTTGGTGGTGAAAACTCAGGTAACATGGGGCCAGTGTTGTGGCATAGCAGGTTAAGCTGCTGCCTACAACTGATATCCCATATGGTTGCCGGTTCCTGTCCCATCTGCTCCACTTCTGATCCACCTCCCTGCTAACGTGCCTGGAAAAGCAGTGAAAGATGGCACAAGTGCTTAGGCTCCTGCCACCCATGTGGGAGAATGGAAGACGCTCCCGGCTTCTGGCTTCGGCCCAGCCCAGGCCCCACCATTGTGGTTATTTGAAGAATGAACCAGTGAATGGAAGGTCTTTCTCTCTCTGTGTCTCCCTGTCTCTGTCACTTTGTCTTCCAAATAAATCAAATCTTAAAAAAAAAATAATTTAATGAATGTTAAAAATGAGAACAACTGCTGCAGCTATCTTAATTACTTACCTCTTGACCTTATCATAGTTCTCTTGGCGATAGTCACCCTGCTGAATTAACTGTTTTGTGTCTGCTAATTCTAAGGCCAAACGCTGACATCTAACTTGCAATTCAGAATAGTTTCTTCGATCTTCCTCATATGTCTATAAATCAAAGAAATAATAAAACATCTCAAACATAGTTGGCCAAATTCTGTTTAGCTGTGAATGTTCTCATAATCAAACAAAAATCTTCAATTTATAAATCCTCTATTTATTAATTTTTCCCTACTCAAAGACAGATAATTTAAAAGTCACACCATAGCTTGTAATTTCATTTTTGTTTAAAACAAACTCTGTTTCTCAACAAACAAAATAAAACAATCCTGTTTTGGTTACTAGACTAATATGTAAGATGACAATGCTAATTGACATTTTCAACATTGAGTAAGTATTATATGCTAAAGGTACAGAAATGAATAATATACAGTCCTTGTTCTTCAGGAGCTCACAATTGAGAGATAAGGAGCCATACGAATACCAGTATCTCCATACAGTTCTAAAAGTGGTACTCAGCAATAAAGGAGTTGTGGGGCCCTCAGAACACATGTCTATGTTCTTCTCGCCTTCATTTTCCCCATTCTAGCAGCACATGAAAAAAAGATGGTTGAAATATGGGGAGAGAGATGGAAGTGAAAACCTTACAGTGGATCACAAGGTCCTTCACCGTCTGGCCCCACTTTCTACAAGTTTTATTTCTCACCATTTCTCGTATCACATTTCGCCCTCCAATCCTAATGGAGACCTGAAGCTCTCTAAACATACCATGCTTCATTTCTAAGTTGTTGCCACTGCCTGAAAACCTGCATATAACCTGAATACTGGCCTTCTTTGGAGTACGGATCAGCTCACTGCACCATCACGTCAGCTTCTTTGAAGAGCACTGACTTTTCCTTGACCCCACTGGATCTCCATCACTTTACAAAACACCTGATCTATAGTAGGAATGAAACAAGCACTTCTGAATAGATTGATCAAGAAATAGATAAATATGAAAACTCAAACAGGAAGCAGGACACAAGGACTGAATTCCTACCTATTTTGTCCCTTTGAACTCATCAGATCTTGTAACCAACCATGAACTCCACACCCAAAAGCTGGTATGTTAAGTACATCCTGTCCTGATTCATTCCTCTCAAGAGCTGATCAGCTAAGTGTTGGTCACACTCGCTTCATAAAAATTGTTCTTCTGGGGCTGGCACTGTGGTACAGTGGGTTAAAACCCCAGCCTGCAGTGCCAGCATCCCATATGGGTGTGGGTTCGAGTCCTGGCTGCTCCACTTCCAATCCAGCTCTCTGCTATGGCCTAGGAAAGTAGTGGAGGATGGCCCAAGTCCTTGGGCCCCTGCACCCACGTGGAAGACCCAGAAGAAGCTCCTGGCTCCTGGCTTCGGATTGGCCCAGCTCTAGCCATTGCGGCCATTTGGGGAGTGAACCAGCAGTCTCTCTCAGACTCTACTTCTCTCTGTAACTCTGTCTTTCAAACAAATAAAATAAATTTTTAAATAAAAATTGTTCCTCTCTGGGGCCTGCGCAGTGGCGCAGTGGGTTAACGCCCTGGCCTGAAGTGCCGGCATCCCATATGGGCACCAGTTCAAGTCCCAGCTGCTCCACATCCAATCCAGCTCTCTTCCATGGCCTGGGAAAGCAATAGAAGATGGCCCAAGTCCCTGGGCCCCTGCACATGCGTGGGAGACCAGGAAGAAGCTCCTAGCTCCTGGCTTCAGATCGGCACAGCTCCGGCCATTGCGGCCAAATGGGGAGTGAACAATTGGATGGAAGACTCTCTCTGCCTCTCCTCTCTCTGTGTAACTCTGACTTTCAAATAAATAAATAAATCTCTAAAAAAAAAAAATCGTTCTCTCCTACACTGAAGTTCCCCATGATAGCGGAATGTTACAATGGTATTTATTGTAAGACTACACCTGAAGACGCTCTACCACTTCCCAAGAATGACATTGTGACTTACGTGCTGCACAGTATTTCAGACATGAGTCCTACAAGAAGCTCTAATTCCCTTGAAGAATGTTTTACTTTCCAAGTAAGTATTTTGGTATTAAGCTTAGGAAGGCAAACTCCAGAATGTAATTGTCTAGAATTGAATTACTGTAGTAAGATTTCGGCTGGTTTAGTTTACTTCTGTGTATTTCAGTGTTTACCTCATGGAGTTCTTGTGAAGATCATATCAAGTAAGATTGTAAAGTGCTTATACAACTAGCTAATATGGAGTAAATGCTCATTAAATCTAAACTAACATGGTTACAATGCTTCCTCTTTTGCTTTGGCTTACAAAAAGATCGTAGCCAAACTGACAGTTTAACTTTAGTAACTGCTCAAACACCATGATAAAATCCAGAGGAATATGAATAAAAGAAATATAAACATTTTAAAGGATGGACAAAAGACAAAGATCCCAAGGAACCCGGGAGAGGATTCACAGAGGCCAAGGGCGAGCCAGAGACATGTTTCAGGAACAACAGCCAAAGAGTGTGCTTTAAGGAGTCAAAGCAGTCATTAACACAGTAAGAAAAAAAACAAACAACTAACACCCTGTAAACACTGATAGGCAGAGCCCTCAGGGACACAGCCCGAGAAACTAAAGTCAATATATCTGAATACTCAATGTGTTTTGGCTTATGTTATTTCATACACATTATATCACTTACATACACACTTAATTTTTATGAGTGTGAACAAAGATTTTCTTATTTTCAGATGAAGATATGGGTTCAGACTGGGGAAGTTTCAGAACTCAGAAAATGGAGTGAGGACTGCCATATAAGTTTGTCAAAATTAAACTACAAGCAACTCTTCCTATAGTTTAGTAATAAAAGTAGAGAAAGCAAGCACAGTGGCTGGATAAGAAAATATGGAACAAGCTTGAGAGTTTCAAATATTGGTGGAAAAACATTAATAGCAAAGAGGGATTAAGACTAGAGAAAGGGACATATTTAAATAGAGGAAGCCCCTCAGAAGGCTTCAGGGGTTGGAATCCAGAGCTCAGACGCAAATATTAATTTTAAATCAGAAGCTATGCTCCCTAGGATTAGATTTTTTTTCCCAGCTGAAAAACTATTTTTTTTTAAGATTTATTTATTTATTTGAGAGGCAGAGCTACTGACAGGGAGGAGAGACAGAGAGAGAGGTTTTACATCCACTGGTTCATTCTCCAAAGGGCCACAATGGCTGGAGCTGGGCCGATCCAAAGCCAGGAGCCAGGAGCTTCCTCCAGATCTCCTATGTGGCTACAGGGCCCAAGCACTTGGGCCATCTTCCACTGCTTTCCTACCCCACAGCAGAGAGCAGCCAAGGCTAGAACCAGCGCCAATATGGGATGTTGCCGCTGCAGGCAGAGGCTTAACCTACTACGCCACAGCGCAGGCCCCTGACAAAGTATTAAACACTGAGGGGCCGGCTCTGTAGTGCAGGAGGTTAATCCTCCACCTGTGGTGCCCACATCCAGCTCTCTGCTATGGCGTGGGAAAGCAGTAGAAGATGTCCCAAGAGCTTGGGCCTCTGCACCCACGTGGGAGACTTGGAAGAAGCTCCTGGCTGTTGGCTTCGGATCGGCTCAGCTCTGGCCATTGTGGCTATTTGGAGAATGAACCAGTGGATGGAAGAACCCTCTCTCTGTCTTTCCCTCTCACTGTCTGTAACTCTACCTCTCAAATAATAAAATCTTAGAAAAAATTAAAACTTGAATTTTTTACATAGGTCTTACAATTTGCTTTGGTCACAGCCAACTCCTAACCCCAATGCTTCACATGTTTATAGCATCTACTTGGTTTCTAAAGATGTTTGATCTTTTTCCATTTATAAGTTCACTAGAAACAGTAAGAACAAACAAACGAACAAATCAGAATGAGTGCAGATGGAAGTACATTTGTAGGTTTGGTAGCAGGAAATTTTGGGAGTTCTCATCTAAGGATTTCTATTTTCTCTGTAAAATGAAATACCAAGTCACCTGCTGAGAGTGGAGCAAAGTGGAAAGCCGGGGATGTAAGGAGAGTGAAGAACCCCTTAAATAATCTCTGTGAAAAAAGAGGACTAGAAGAAACAGAATGAGAGCACAGCTGTGTGGGCCTGACTGAAGCTGCTCACAAGAACCTAGTGCTTGTTACTGCTGCTACGATTTTTGCCAGGAGTGTTCAGTTAGAAACGCCAAGAGTTCAGATTTTTGCCAGGATGGTTTGACAAAAAGAAAGCAGAGGTGGAGGGGTAGTGAGAAGACATTGGCAAGAGACAGATTTAAGACTGACAACATGGGGGCTGGCATTGTGGCATAGCGGGTTAGCTATCACCTGCAATGCTGACATTCCCATATGAGCACCAGTTAAGAGTACGAACTGCTCCACTTCTGGCCCAGCTCCCTACTGGACAGAGTTACAGAGAGAGAGAGAGAGAGAGAGAGATCTTCCATTTGCTGGATCACTCCCCAAATGGCCAGGAGCTTCTTCTGGGTCTCTCACGTGGATGCAGGAGCCCAAGCACCTGGGTCATCTTCCACTGCTTTCCTAGACACACAAGCAGGGAACTGGATTGCAAGTGGAGCAACAGGGACACAAATCAGCACTCATATGGGATGCCGGCATCACAGGTGGCTGCTTTACCCACTATGCCACAGCACTGGCCCCAGATGGAATTTCTTAAAAGCTGGAAGTTGATGATTGAGAAACATGGAAATATAGGAAGTAGTATGTTATGTGGATCAAACTGAATTAATAACTTCAGAAGTAAATCGATTTTGAGTGACAAGGAATAGAATGTGACCTATGAGATGGAACATTAAAGCTTAGAGGGTCAATCACTAGGATTAAGAAGGTAACAACATCCAAGGCCAAGGTTTTAGATGAATCTCAGAAGCAACCCAGGGGGCTGGCACTGTGGTACAGTGGGTTAAAGCCCTAGTCTGCTGCACTGGCATCCCATATGGGTGCCAGTTCGAGTTCTAGCTGTTCTGCATCCAATCCAGCTCCATAATGAGCCCAGGGAAAGCAGCGGAGGATGGCCCAGGTCCTTGGGCCCCTGAACCCACATGGGAGATCCAGAAGAAGTTCCTGGCTTCTGGCTTCGGATCTGCTCAGCTCTGGTTGTTGCAGCCATTT